AGGGTCGCTATGAGTCGCAAACGACTCGACGGCACATAGCAACATAACAAACAACTATGTATTGACAATCCTGCAACTCTTACCTCTGAGACTGAACTCTATGGGGAGGTGGCTGGTAACTACACACCCTTGGGAAAAAAATAGCAATACAAAGCAGTTTTTAAGTACTTAGACTCAAATTCACTGCTTTCTGGTCAGTTCCAAGTCATAGTGACCCTGGATTTCTGAGGTTGTAAATAGCAATAGGAGGAGACAGCCCGTCTTTCTTCCATGGAACAATTGGTGGATTCAAACCGCAAGAGACACATGGACTTTGGGTTAGCATTACAATTCACTATGCATTATGCAGCCAGAGCTCCCTGTGTAAGTGTGTGACTATGAAAAGGGGAGGCCAACAATTGAACAATCTTTCTACTGACCTTCTGCCATGCATCCTGGGTTCGGACACTATTATCAGGCATAATAAGAGGGAGGAAGCAGAATTGAAAAATGAGGGGAAAGTTATGTAAATTTTCTGAGTTTTTATAGAAAGGAGTGAGAGAGAAGTTAGTGCTAAGTGCATTGAGGGGCGTGGAATGAAGGAGTAGCCAGCATCAGTGAGGCTTTGAGGATGTGGAGGACAGATGCATTCTATACATGGGAAGATGCTGCCCCATGAATGAGAACAAGACACTGGAAGAAGGGCAAAGTTGGGAGGGTGTGTTCAAATTCCCAATGCGCTAAATGTCCATCTTTCTCATATTTTATCCACCCTGAACACCCACCCGCATAACCACCACCATCCACTACTCTGGCAGGACTCAATGGGAAGATTTCTGGGAGAGAAGAAGAGTTGGAAATAAAAAAAAGCTACAACAAAACCAAACCCCAAATAACTCAGCACTGAGTAGAGAAGGAGGGAAAGGGCATGCTAAAGAGAGAAGCTGATTTCAGCACGGAATGAGATAGAAGTATGGGTTAAGCAACTGAGATTGGGAGATGAAGTAATGTGCATAGAGCTGAAGGTCTTTGGGGCTAAAGAAAAAAAGGTTAGGAAGATGGAGAGATAGAGTATAGCAGGCAGAGCTACCAGTAGTCTCAACTCCTTAAGCAGCCTCCTTTCCTGGGGAGAGTTAGAGAGATAGATTTATAATAAATAGCCTTTCACTCTAGTAGGGCAAATGAAGAGAAGTGTTATGTACCAATGCTACGTATCTTCAGCTAGTTGACTGCTGATTCATCACAAAATAATTTCTATTTCTTCTCCTTTTTAGGATGTCTGGAGAATGTCAGAGTGCTGTGAGCATTTGTAAGTAACACATTAAATTTTCCGCCCCTGAGTTGTAGAAAGGTCACCTAGAAAAGCTTTCCTGACTGACTTTCAGGCTGAAGGGCCTGACCCACCCACAGGAGGTCAGTCTATCAAACAATGTCTAGTGTCAACTATGGTCACATTCTGCCCCTGGTATAAAGTGACAACCTCTCTTGGCTCCAAAAGAAAATTCTTGTGGTCTTGGAGAGCCTGCCAGAGTGAATAAATAGAAGTTTTTGCAGAGGCATTTCTGGCCTCTGTTTTTGAGGAAGGATACTCCAGGGCCAGGCTCTCACTCTTGGTTTGCAAAGAGGTCTTAGCAAAGTTGAGAATCTTTCTGTAAGTCACACAGCCCTTAGGATAGAGTTGGGACATAGATGCAGGCCTTCAGCTTCCCCATCCTTGGTCCTGACCTGAGTGTCTGTTTTCTGCAGCTGTAGTCAGCAATGTCACCAGCACCAGCAGCACCTCTGGCGGCAGCCGTGGAGGCTTTGGTGGCGTCGGTGGCAGCATGAGTGGTGGTTATAGAGGCGGCAGCAGTGGCAGCAGCGGAGGCTATGGAAGAGCTGGTGGCAGCAGCAGTGGCCACGGAGGTGTCAGTGGCAGCGGCAGTGGACGTGGAAGTGGCAGTGGGGGCTACCAGGGTGGCAACAGTGGGGGAAGGGGAAGCAGTGGGGGTTACCAGGGCAGTGGCAGTGGGGGTTACCAGAGGGGCAGCAGTGGGGGCTTCCAGGGCAGTAGCAGTGGGGGCAGGGGAAGCAGTGGCGGTTACCAGGGCGATAGCAGTGGGGGCTACCAGGGCAGTGGCAGTGGGGGTTACCAGAGTGGCAGCAGTGGAAGCAGCAGCTCCATGAGCCAAAGTGGAATAGGCTCCAGCTCCAGCTCTGGCAGCATCCAGACCTCTGGAGGCAGTGGCTACAAGTCTGGTAGTGGAGGCAACACCAATATTCGTTTCTCCCAGACCACCACTTCCAGCCAGCACTGCTCCAAGTGATCCTCTGGGCAGAATCTCCATTCCCACTTGGCTTTCCTCTCAGCCAGTACCAGAACTTTCTGCCCTCTGCTTGGCGTTAGCAAGCGAACACAATCCCACTTCTCTTTTCTTCAACTTCCCTGGAGAAAGCGTTCACCTTCCATCTCCTCCATGTCTCAAACCTCTCCTGGGTCAAGGAGGTTCAGCGACTAGTCTGGGATGATGATGCCTCTGACTGGGCTCCTGCAATGACTCCAGACTTTGGTCGGGAACACCAGAGCTCAAGCAAGTACGAATCTTCCCAGCCTGGCCTGTTTCCACTCTGGACTGTCTCCTTCCTATTGAGCGTTATCGTCTGAGGCCAGCACTTCTCAGCACTGTCTGAGAGGGCAGTATAGAGGCGTCACTGGGGCAGGGTGGGCTAGTCAAGCTCTCTAGTCTTGATTTCCAGGGTCTTTTTCTTACATCTGGGCATTATATTCCCACTCACTTTTGTCTTTTAATTCCCTGAGCTGTGGACCATCTTTGGTGATGAGCGTATTTCCCTTTCTCAATAAATTGCACTGTATTTAACACCTTGGTGTTCGACTTTTATTCAAGGAGCCAGCAGACTAACCCCAGGCCTTAGAATAGAGGGAGACCAGCCAGAAGTGGTGACCTTTCACAATGTTAGTCGTGGGTGTAGAGGGCACCAAGTAGTCTTGCTTTCTCCTTTATCCATTTCAATGGGTTCTTGTGAAGATGCATGGAGTTTGAGTTGAGGCCATCCCGTTATTAAGTGGGTCATCTGACACAGTGCTCTTCCTCTGAGCATAAGGTCTTTGTGCTTCAGTCTGACAGAAGAAGCTCTGCAGTTCTTCAAGGGAATGGATCCCAGTGGGCTGAGGTCCCTTGGTTTCACTTCTATCTAGTCAGGCATAGAATAAATGATTTTTTTCTGCAAACACAGCTAGCTCCTGGGATTTGAAGAGGTCAATATATAACATCCCTCTCTCACCAGCCCAGGTTTTACATCAATAAAGAGATAAAAATAAGGCAAATGGAGAACAATCATATTTTTATTACAAACAAAGCAGACACTGGAAAATGTGGCTGATATCTTGGGTGAAATGTGTTTCTATTCTAAGACCTTAAGATTATGCCAGATTTCCTGCCTGGGCAGAGGCAGCATGGTGCCACCACAGCCTTCTGTGTGGGATCAAACCTTTACTCCTCATTGTGGTAAAGCAGAAGATAAACTTGTTATAGGCAGCCAGAGCCTAAGGCATGGAAGGGTAGATCTATGCATGCCTAGTTCTTTCTTTCAAACTCACCAATTATGTGGAAGAGTGGGACTCCAGTGAAATTTACTCTAGACAGATGTAAAATTAGGAACAGAGAATATGCCCTCCCCTTTAGGCCAGCATTTCCAAACTGCTCCCAGAGAGCAAAACTAGGGAGGTCAGGGATAATGAAGTGGTTCCTGAGATTTGGTTAGAGAAACTGAGGGTTTTAATGGACATGAATGACAATAAAGTTCACTGCTCCTGACTTAACCTTCTCTTTAACTCAGTCCCATCCACTTGCCTTTGAACACGGTAAAATACTCGATTGTAAGTCACTGTAGAACATGTATTACCCACTAGAAGACATGTCGGGGTTGGAACAATGAGAGGACATCTTTATTTGTTGGATGATTCAAAAAGGATTTGCTTTTCATGATCTTGAGCACAAGATGGTCTTGTCCCTTTATAGCTCACTCCATTTAATCTCCAAAGACTACCAGCCCTAGTCACAAGACTTGCAGAAGGAGACAGTTTAAAATTCCTCCACTTGTTGTTAAGTGCCATTGAGTCACATATGTCTCTTAGCAAGAGTCCAAGAAATCTTTGCCCCTGTTTTCAAGGCCTACAGAAGGAGCTAGTGCCCTTCCCTACTTACACCTAGGCTTGGGAACATGGCTAGGCCATTCTTTATTGCCTTTTAGAGATATTGCAAGAAACACCAGTCCCTAGAAATATTACCTAATTGCTCAGGTGTATGTGTTACCAAACTTACTGGGAAGAGGTTGAACTCTCCTCGTTTAGCCCAGCCTCTAATTACACCAGGATGGCAGGATTTGGGGATGGATCCTTGAGGCTCTTTACCCATCTAGGAAATGTGCTTGGAGAACTCAGTCCTGGGTACTATCTCAGAGCCCTGCACAGGATTCAGTCAGTTAAAGAATGAGTAGAGACAAAGGAAGAGTGACACTCACAGTCTGAAAGAAAAATGGGATAGATCACACACGAGGCAAAACTGAACTGAAAATTGACAGTGTAGGTCCAGGATCCCCTTGTTAAGAGAGATGGCTGTAATGGCAAAAGAATGAAAGAAATTTGGATTTGAGAGGAAGCTTGGAGCAATCTGGGAAGAAATAAGACCCTGGACAACATCTAGGAAGTCAAAAAGTTTAGGATTCAGACCTCAAGATCAAATGCCAGGAGAATTCCAGGACTCCCCTCATGCTCCACATTTGAGATGCCTATGGACATATGGACACCTCCAGGGTGAGATTATCACATCTGAGGTCAGAATAAGGATGACAAAGAACAGATTATTTATCAGTCCGTGGAAACCATACATTCTTGAACTTTCTGAGTTGTGCAGAGTCTTGCATATTTATCTCCCATTTGAAGATAGAACTGGTGAGGGAGGAGCAACCAGAGTGAATAGAGGAGGCATGTACCTGTTCAGAATGGTCAGAAGGAGTGGGTGACAGAAGTCTTCCCAAATTAATACTGAAACCCTACCATTCATGTCTTTATTGGTGTTGTTGTTGTGTGCCGTTGAGTTAGAACAGACTTACAACTGACCTTCCAAGAGGTTTTCAGAGACTGTAAGTCACATAGGAAGAGACTGCCCATTTTGCTTCTTTGGAGCAGCTGGTGGATTAGAACCATCTGCCTTTGGGTTTGCAGTGTAACTCCTTACTTCTCGGCCACCAGACTTCCCCATTTATGTCTGTAGGGTTAAGCAATCCTTCCTTGTGGCAACTGTTTATTTAGTCTCCATCCTTTATCTTTTTCCTTTGCCTCCCATTCTTTTTTCTTTCTAAAACTTTTGTCTAGATTATAAAAGCAATACACTTATAGCAAAAATAAAGTTTAGCAAAGTTAGAAAAATAAAGATTTTTATAAAATTAAGATAAAGAAAGTAAAGATCACCTATAATTCTACCATTCTACCACCCAGTGGTAAGAATTGATGCCTTTGAGCTGGGTGTTGGAGAAGAGCACTGAACATCCCATGGATGGCCAAGACAACAAACAGATATGTCTTGGAGAGGGTGTAGCCAGAATGCTCTTTGGAGGAAATGATGTGGCTTCAGCTCACATATCTTGGACATGTTGCTAGGAGGGGCTATTCCTTGGAGAGGGACACGATGCTGGGAAGGGTGGAGGGTCAGCGAAGTACAGGAAGACCCTCAACTAGGTGGATTGACATGTTGACTACTGCAATGGGCTTTTGTGTGTCAGGAAGTGTGAGGATGGCACAGGATAGGACAGGGTTCAGATCTTTTGTTCATAGGGTCGTTATGAGTCGTATTCAACCCAACGGCACCTAACAACAACAACCACAACAACCACCCAATGACATTTTTCTATGTGTACACAGATTGCACACAACTTAAAAACTCAAAGTTATTGGTGTCGAGTGGGAACCAGCTCATAGCTGACCAGCTCATAGCCGTGAGTTGTACAGGAGGGAGCACCTGTCTTTCTCCCACAGAACAGCCAGAGGACAGGCCTTACCTGTGGGTTAGCAGCTCAACTCCATATAGATGACTCCAAAGTACTCCCGCACAGAAAGAGTTAGGTATATAGAAAAACATTGTATTTCAGAGTAGGCTCTTATTATACACATTGCTTTAAACCAGATTTTCACTTACTCTACTGTGGAATTTTTTTTTTTTAAAAGAAAAGATTCTTTCATTGTTTTACAAACACTCCCCCAGGTCACCTCCACCATGCAGCCCTCGCTCTAGTCTCCTGTGATGACAGAAATACCCAGTTACATCTCTCTTCTACTGTGGAATTTATACTGTTACTCATTCAGCAAATATATTGAATGTCTTCCATTTTCCTGACTTGGCATTAGGTGCCAGGGATAGAGCACAGAACATAACAGCCTTTGCACTCAGTGAGTTTACAGTCTAACTAGGAAGAAATTTATCAAACAGCATCATTGTATTACAACACATACAAATGGAGATTATGAATTTTTCAGTTAAGATACTTACTCAAGCTGCTCTGAAGGAATTGGGGGGGGAAAAGGCCCCAGGAACAGATGGAATACCAGTCGACATATTTCAACAAATAGATGCAGTCTTGGACATGCTCACCAGGCTGTGCCAAGAAATCTGGAGGACAACTATCTGGTCAAGTGACCGGTAGAGATCCATATTTAATCCCATTAAAAGAAAGTGATCCAAAGTGATCCAACAGAGTGTGGAAATTATTGAATTATATCTCTAATATCACATGCAAGCAAAATCCTGCTGAAGATTATGAAAAAGTGACTGGAACAGTACATTGACAGAGCACTATCAGCAAAATAAGCTGGATTTAGAAGAAGCTGTGACACTAGGGACATCGTTGCCAATGTCAGAGGGATCTTGGCCACAAGCAGAGAGTAACAAAGAAATATATATCTATGTTGCATTGACTATGCAAAGACATTTGACTGTGTGGATCACAATAAATTGTGGCAAACCTTGAGAAGAATGGGAATCCCAGAACATTTGATTGTGATCATGAGAAACCTATACTTGGAGCAGGAGACAGTTACCTGAACAGAGGAAGGAAACACTGCATGGTTAAAAAATCAGAAAAGGAGTGAGTTAGGGATATGTACTGTCTCCATTCCTTTTCAATATGTTTGCAGAACAGATCATTTGAGAGGCTGAGCTTGATAAGGAAGAAAGTAGCATCAAGATTAGAGAAAGACTCATCAATAGCCTGGGTTATGCAGATGACACAACCTTACTTGCTGAAACTGAGG